AATCCCTAATATTAACGAAAACATTACTATTCATACTAATGGTGAATGTTTCCGTTAACCGTTAAGATCATTCAAGAACATTGACATTAATATTAATGAATTAAGTTTTTCTCAGAAAACATTAAGCATTAATATTAATGGTTAATGAGAAACATTAACATTAATATTAAATTAATGTTAATGGCCCACCCCTACTCGTCACCGTGCTTTTTTTCTCTTTCAATCTTCTTCGTTTTTTGTTCACTTGTTCTAAGGTTTTATGTTGTTATGATCAAAATAAAAATATACGCTGATATTTGCGTAGACAAATAAATCACATTTGAATCTCGAAGTTTCTTCTTCGATGAGTAAAATAAACCGTGGTTGTTGGATCTCATATAGGAGAAGTACTGCCCATGCGTTGTTAAATGTCGGAATTTTTTATAGCCAAGACTCTTTCTATAGGCTAGAAAAATATCAGTGAATTGCATGTCGAATACAACGAAGAAGAAAATCACTTCACGTAGAATATAACACATCGTTCACATTTGCGTGATACGATCCTAGTCGAACTTTTTTTTGCAAGTGGATGCAATTCTTGACTTTCTTGAGGCAAGACATGAGGTCTTTCGGTGAGCTCAAGTTCTTAAACTTCTTGCTCATGCGCTTGAATTTTTATCTAATATAAGCGCTTCCGTTATTAAAGAACTTTTTCAATTTTACATTCAAAATAACTCAACTTGCAATAGAAACTTATAGTTGCATTTTTTTGTTATTCATGCAAACATTCAAGCGCTTGTCTTGAGCAAGAAAGTCATGCACTATGGACACATCTTGAGCTCTAGTGTTGGCAAGCGCATGAATAAAAAAGCTCGACTAGGGGATGATCTCGAGACTGAAACTTTTCCCGATCTCCTCTATCGGATTTTTTGGATGAAGTAAAATACGAATCTTACATTTTTGCAGAAAAATTCAATATAGTGAGATTTGCTGTTGATTTAGCCATCGTTAAAATGATGTCATCAGGAAATGCTAGCCACACATTTGTTCATCGAGATAATTAAATCTTGAATCAAAATTGTTCTCTATAAATAGAGTTTTTACAGTGATGAATTAAACTATCGCTACCTTAGCAGTTCAGTTAAAGCTCTCATGTTTTTAGAATTTGAAGTCAATCTATCATTTTATTCTCGATATTTTTCTGAAAATTCGGCTCTTGTATCACACAGGAGCTATTTTCTGTATTTACTATTATCTGATGATTATTTGAAATATTGGTCTTTATATTCCTGTCTGCTCATCGTCGAATTACGTTCAGCAACAATTTGTGTTAATGTCTGTAGATATCTTAACTGCATAGCTTTGTGTGATTCATTGATCGTATCGGGCGCTGCTTTTAAACTACTACTTGCTTTCATTTCACCTGCAGCTGCGAAAATTTTTGCACGTGTATCTCGAGATGCTTCAGCTGCCACCGCTTTTTCTAATGCTACTGGTAAACGAACATCTTTGACTTCAACACGTTCGACTTTCACACCCCAAGGATCGGCTGATGCATCTAGACTAGGGATGCACCAGTATCAGTATTATACTGGTCTACTGGCCCAGTAAATACTGGTCACCAGTAATACTGGTTTTTTACTTTGGAAAATAACTATTAGCTAAATGAGTCATTTTCTCAGCCACCACTCTCTTTGACTATATTCAAGTGAAAAATTGAGTTTTGCCCCATCTTGAAACAGTATAAGATATTGAATAGAACTAGCTGATAATGTTATATAGAACATTTTTCAATAGTTTTCAACGTTTTTGAAAAAAAAAATAATTGCATTCATGGACTTAGTCTGATAGTAAAACAATCTTATGAGATAAACCAATGAATCGGAATACTATGTTTAACATACCCATTTGAACTTAGGTTAAATTGATCAAGAAAACAAAACATGGATATTTAATGAACTTTATTAACTTTTAGTGATACATAAATCTTATATAAGTAAATGGCTTGATTTTTCTACTTCTCTCTCAGTCGAATGACACTATTTTCACATCTATCTATTGCATTAGTTTGTGTATAAATAAGTTACATAGCTAAAGCTAACGCTTTTTTGTTCACGATATCGGATGTGAAACAGATAATACATATATTAAATGAAAATTAAAACACGAAAAACAAGCAATGTCACTATTACCTGTTCAATTTTGTAACGATCCCAATAATTTAATCGAATCTTTTAACATATGTGATCAAAAATACTGCCCCTAACTCTATCGTTTTGAATTTATACTTACAAGTTGAACTTGACACATCAATATCGTAGTTTTATTAGTATTGAATAAAATCAGTGCATTAGTTTCCCTCGTATCAATAGTATTTTCTTATTTAACACTAATACAAGTGACAATTGTCATTGTTTACAACATATACATTTATTGTTTTCTCGATTGACTGACTTTTAGTGCTATATAATATGCTCAATATAGATTTTCGAGCACAATTTCTTTTTTTTACCATGACTACGACCTGAATTAATGATCTTCTTTCTTCAAACACGTTGAAAACTATTGAAAAATGTTCTATATAACGTTATCAGCTAGTTGAGCATTCAATATCTTATACTGTTTCAAGATGGGGCAAAACTCAATTTTTCACTTGAATATAGTCAAAGAGAGTGGTGGCTGAGAAAATGACTCATTTAGCTAATAGTTATTTTCCAAAGTAGAAAACCAGTATTTACTGGACCAGTAGACCAGTATAATACTGGCACTGGTGCATCCCTGATACGAATGTACGCCGGAAAATAAATGATTGCATCAATTTTTCATGGATTACGGAGCTGTCACCATTTTAATAATATCTCTTGAGGGCGTAGGTATTACTGAGCCCCATTTCAGCTCCATGCCCCTAAAAAATGTAATTTTTATCATGAATATTTGATAAAATTTAGAAAAAAGAACATATTGGATAAATATACCTTTCGCACACACTCTTACGATCAATTTGGTACATTTCACTCGGATTCAATTTTATTGTCGACTGATTTTATAATATTTACGATGAGACCAATTTGAAATGCGAGACTTGCGTATTGTTAATTCTGTCAGAAGAGACTATATCTTTCATCTAATCTAAAACTGAATCTGGAAACTTCTCTTCCCTAATTCAAGAATTCAATAAAATTGAGTTTCTGTGTGTCGTTAATTGAACGAATAAGTTTAAAATGATATCCCATATTCAACAGTATCTACTCGTAGTAAATTACTTTTCAATGACTCCATGAGTTCTTCGCAGGGATTGGCGACTTTTGGGAAAACAACTCAGATTAATTCGGAAGCCTTTAATAGGCCAAACAATGAGCAACTCGCGATGAAGAATCATTCGACTAATACGAAACATTCTAACGTCGTTTTCTTGTGTTCCAGGGTCATAATCTTTCTAATAGGTAGTAAAACGTATATTTCGATGAGATGTATTTTCCTCTTTCTTTGTTTACGTTGAATTTATCTTTTCCATTCTCTATGAAATTATACTTCCTTCGTCATTGTAACATAACTAATTTCCATCATTACCATAGACACGATTCAAACAAAAATTGCCGTATAAAAAAAACATTTTGAATATATTTTGTGTCAATGTTTCTAAGTCACTGCATGTTTATTGGTAATTCATCCGATTTTGTATTTATTCTAATCAAGAAAAACGATTTATTTCAATCAATGTGCTGAAATCTCAGTTATTCCTAAAGACTTAGCTTCTACGTTTTAATGGTACTGGAAGAGCACGACGAATGAATTACTCATACTCATCCGTTATTCTACTGCCATATGCATTGAATCATTCTATGACTAATATTTCATCCATGATAAAAACAAAACTATTATTAAGAATCAGTAACAAAAATTTTATTGATTTATATATTTCATTTCGATACAAAAAAATAGCAAAAGAAAAACTGATACATTTGAACTAGAATCACCGTCTGCTAAATTTATTTGACATATAAAAGAAAAATCCTCAAGCATAAACTCTTTAAATTGTCTCTAATCGATGGTTTTTATTTCGTTTTCTTATCATTCTTGCTAGACATTTAAATGCACCCGTTAAACCATCACCTGTTAATGCACAACATGGTATAATAAAGTATGATTCATTAGGCCAATGAATTAAGTCAAGCTTTTCCGCTAGAACTTCAGCAGATAGAGCTTCTTTACTATCTTGTTTATTAGCAATAATAATAAGTGGAACATTTTTCATTGATTCATGTTGATAGATTCCTTTTAATTCGGCTTTCGAAAGCGAAAGACGATGACGATCAGTTGAATCAATAACAAAAACAAGGCCATCGACATTATCAAAATAATGATGCCACAATGTACGTAAATGATCTTGACCACCCACATCCCAAACTGTCAAGGATACTCCACGACATGGCGATATTGTTTCCACATTAAAACCTTTTTCATCAAAAAACGAAGAAGCACAGTCATTTAATTTTGAAGACAACAAAAACATACCTATCGTTGGTACAGTATTGAAATCTTCTGCCCGTTTCATTCGATAGAGTATTGTTGTTTTACCTGCATTGTCCAAGCCAAGCATAAGTATACGTTTTGGCCCATCAGCAGATAGTTTTTTCATGATTTTTGAAACTACTTTACCCATTGTTTTTTCTTCTATAAATGAGTTATACAAATCTATTATTTATTTAATCTAATAGTATTAGTCAGCGGTAAACGACAAGAGGAAAGAAAAACTATTAATAAACAGCTGCAATATGCGGAGTACCACGCTTCTACTTATTCTTGACAACCAACTACATTAATCATTGAAACTTATTTGACTATATTATCACACATGTAAGTCTATGATGACGCACATAAGGGTGTTACAGGTGAATGAATCATATGCAACTACAACAAAATATACATAGACATAAGCCGATGCTGAAATAACGTGTGCTACGGCAATAACATTCCTCCTCTCTGTGGCTGCGTAATCGAATAAGAACATGACAGTGAAAGAACAAACAAACCATCTTTCCTTCTTTTTTTATTGCATTATCGACTACATAAAGAAAAATCACTCTCTACAACATAATTGTTGTTATTGTCCGAAAATGAGTCTACTAATCATGTAGTTGACCTATTCAACACAGACAAAACGTCGAGACAATTGGTCATAGAATGTGCGAGAGAACATATTAAATGTATTTCGTTATATAATCAACATTTTTCTTACTCGTTTTCAAAATAAATCCTTGACCTAAAACCACATGTTGTAGCAGCAGTCATTTCAATTAAGATCGAATATATTTATCAACTGTCTCTGTCAATGCATTTTGAACAATAGTTAATCACACTATTAAATATTTTATAGAAATTCTATTTTCAGTCAAGGTAATAATTCATGATATTATTATTAGGAAAAAAAATACCTCAAATACTTGTAGAGATGAATCGATTGAAAACAAACGTTGGCACGCCTTTTTTCAAAACTATCGCTCGGAGGAAAACATACTTCAGAAATTGCATGAAGAATAAAACTATTTTTTTAGATTAAAAAAGAACCAGTACGATAGTTATTAATAAAGCATGCTAGTTGTTTGCCAGCTGATAAGCAACCTCGAATGATAAGGTTATGGTTGCTCTTGGTATTGATATTAAAATTATGTAGCAGAATCATAGTAGAAGTAAACTGCTTCATTAAGAAACACAAAATGATCGGTCTATTGGCAAAATAATAAAAGGTTATATATTCTGATGAAATAACATCCCTGAAAACAAGGTCATTTCATTGATTATTATTATAGCAATCGACTATGTGTAGAATTCTTAAGTACTTTATATCAGTCTAATTTATGAAAATCTCAATAATATAATTGTTTCGTTGAATATTGTTTGAAATAAATATATTTTAAACGTTTGAAGAAGAAAATGAGATTTTAGTACTCAAGTCTCTTATGTTTTTTTCTTGTAACATAGCAATCAAAGCTATTAATTAAAAGACAAGAGAACATGTTTTTATTGTTCATGAAAAATTACATCGTAAAAACGCATGTTCCATTGTTGAGAGCAGTGTTTATGTAATATAAATGATGAGTTTATTTTAGACATGTCCTAAGAATTGCTATGTTTGTATTCCACTTCAGTATGGCTAGTAAATGTCAATTGAATTATTTTGTCTGATAGAATTATCGAAAAATTAGTTTCTACTTTGAAAATAAATAAACAACATGACTTTTTGACAAGTTAACATGATGGCAGGAGTAGAATTCTCGTGAGTTTTGTCGCCAAATATTTTTTTTCTACTCGTCCGAACAGAGGTCTCTGCTTCAATGGGATTGGTTGAAAATTGTACAAATAAAAAAAATGACAATATAATCCCTTTTGCTGCTTGTAGCAAGTCAAGATATTTTTCCAAACGTTTCTCAAATATTCGTCATTTTTTCTGAGTACTACTTTCTCATAGATAATAGATGAACTAATACGAATGTATTGTTAATTTAAAATCTAACATTAAATAGAAAATTTTCTTGTCCTTGACATAACGCGTATAATAAACATCATATGATCTCGAAATGAATAACGACGATGATGATGATAATTATCCGGGCAAACTTCTTCATCAAGCCGCACTTTATTTAAATGTTGATCTTCTTCAAGTAACATCGAATTCAAATATAATTTTTTAAGAATTACTTTTGTTTTGGAAATAATAGGATCTTCTCGTCGGTGATGAAATCAATAATATCGATGCCATAGATCGTTTCGGTTGTACGCCATTACATACAGCATGTATATCGGCTGCACAAGCAACTCTTCAAAATGATAATAGAGTTCTTGATTCGTCGTTAGAATTTATAATGGTTCTCATTGATCATGGTGCTGATCTAAATGTACAGACGGGCGAACGTTACGATTATAAAGTAAGCATAAATCTATCGTGATAAACAAAAACGTACCGAATGGATCAATCCTTCGATTGTGTTTTGCTCTTGTGTGATCAATATTTGACATTGTCGTCTGACGACAATAGTAAATATTTTGTACTTATATTTAAACAGTCGTCTACTATTTAATCAGGTCATAAAAACAAAGGATAAAAATAAAAAACATCTAGTTTTTGCTACATGAACATAGATAGAAAGTAATGAAGTTGTTTATAGTCTATATTCTACTGCTAATAGCAGTATCGATTCATTCGATATATAGTCGACAATATGTTATCGGTTGTTATTTTACGAATTGGTCTCAATATCGACAAGGTCTTGGTCATTTTTCTCCGTCACATATTGATCCGTCACTTTGCACCCATGTTTATTATGCATTTGCAAATATTAATGTGAAAACTCGAAGTCCAAGTTCATTTGAAATGAACGATATTAAATCAATTGTCGACAATAATCATATGACATCATCGTCACTTATGGGAATGTATGGACAATTGAATTTATTCAAGAATAAAAATCGCCATTTGAAAACATTATTATCATTGGGCGGTGCAACGGTGAATGCAACAGAATTTCGATATATTTTTGAAGTGGAAAAAATACGTCATGAATTTATACGAAATACAATAAAATATTTACGGAAGTATAAATTCGATGGTTTAGATATTGATTGGGAATATCCTGAAACGGAAAAAGATCGTCGCACATTTTCTTCAATGGTTCGAGATTATCGATTAGCATTTCAAAAGGAAGCCTCTACAACTAATCGTACACGGCTTCTATTAACAGCAGCTGTTGCTGCCTATCGACCAAAAATCGAAGCCGGTTATAATATTAAAGAAATTGCAACTTTTCTTGATTTTATTAATCTAATGGCTTACGATTATCATGGTTCGTTTATTGAAAATTAATTTTTCCAATCGCAAAAAAAACCTTGTCATCTCTTTTTACAGGAAGTTGGAATACTCATATCGGTTTTAATAGTCCTTTATATCCACGTTCCACTGAAATAGGTGTACAACGATTGTTAAATCAACAAGCAACAGTTAATACCTGGCTTAAAGGTGGCTGTCCACCATCGAAACTTGTCCTTGGCCTCGGTTTCTATGGTCGAACATTTAAATTAAAAGAGAAAAATATTGCCAATAGAAGGCCATATGCTTCATCACAAGGTGCTGGTTTACCTGGCAATTATACTAACAGTAGTGGATTTTTATCGTACTATGAAATATGTAATTTAATAAGAAAACATCATTGGCAGATTGCATATGACAGAGAACAAGAAGTACCATTCGCTTACAAAGATGATCAATGGGTTGGGTTTGATAATCAACGATCAGTAGAAAAAAAATGTCAATTTATTGCTAAACAAGGTCTCGCTGGGGCAATGATCTGGGCAATTGATTTGGATGATTTTACTGGCAATTTTTGTGGACAAGGAAAATATCCATTGTTAACAAAAGTTAAAAAAACATTTGAAAAGTTGAAAAACCCGCTACCGATTCATCAGACTACGTAGAGAAATAGAATTGAATAGATTGAAAAAAGACTTTTTGCTCTTTTAATTATTTTTTGATTTTAATTCATTTCAATACAATATAATATTCATATATATATTCCTATTTCTTTAGACACCTATACATATGATTGCTGAAGTTGGCAATGAAAAAATCTTAGCTCTATTATTATTTCACAAGGCTGATGTTACTATACGCGATAAACATGGTTATACGCCTTTATTGTTAGCTCAAATAAATCGCAAAGTTGATACAGTAGAAATGATTCAAAATGAAATTGAACTTCGACAACAAGTTCGCCATGAAACAGAAAAAAGTAAAATCGAACAAAACAATATAACGATCGCGCAATAATTATAATTCTATTTAGAATTACTTGATGCTTGTTTCGACGGTGATGTAGCAAAAGCCGAACAGTGTCTTGCACATTTGGGTGCTCATGCGAAAGCAGTATTGAATTCAAGTCCGAATGGAAGTGATACACTGAATTTTTTGTATAGGTAAATTTTCATTGGTATAGATTTTTTATCAGATTGAAAATGGTTTTTCTTTCTGTAGAGCTTGTCGAACAGGCAATGTAGATTTAGTAAAGTTACTGTTAAAACATGGAGCAATCGCAAAACCTCATCGTCAGACATCTTATTCTCCACTTTATATAGCGTGTCGAATTGGAAATCTTGAGATTGTTCAAATGATTCTTACTGTAAGATGACAATCATGTGTTCGTGTTTTATTAAGATTTTTCTTTCTGTTCTTTTAGCATTTTCCACATTTAGTTTGTGTCGCAACACTTGAACAGATTCTTCCCTTTGCTGCTGCTTGTTCACAAGGTCATCTACCTATTGTACAGTTGTTATTAACGTATCCGAATTATCCATTTTCGTCGTGTAGCGTCTTTATCGATCGTTTACAACGGTCATATGTTTTTCCATTTAATCTCAATGGTATGATTTATTTTACACATGTTCGATATCTTACTGAGCTATTTATAATTGAAAGAATAGAGCTGTTCTTCGTGCGTATTACATAATACCAGAAATTCAATACTAGTCCGTAGATTAAATATAGGAGTATTATGTTTATTTAAATGTATACATAAGATTAAGTTTCGCGGATCGATTTACATTTTCGATCTTGAGAAAAATATTATGAAATATGGAAAATAGTACCTCTAAATTCTCCTCTGCAAAATTTCTAACAGTCATATAAAGAAGCCTATACTAATGTCGGTAGCATCAGTTGACCTCAACGGAATGGAAATTTTCTTATTTCAGTTTTTATTGCGTATGTCGAATCTCTAAAGGTCATTTTCGATTTCAAATAGGAATAAATTATGAAGCAAGATTACAAACTAACATACCAAAAAGAAAACGAACTTTTGCTTTTACAATTCTTTGTTTCTTTCTAGCACAAGATTTAAATGAACAAACTAGTTTATATTTATCCGTACTCGGGGGATTTTTCGATGTTGTTGAATATCTTCTCTCGTTCCGTGTTCATGCTTTAACTTCATCAGAAGTAGAATTATTCAAACGTCGATCAACACATAGCTACTTTACTTCCGAACGTAATGAATTTAAAACCGAAAAGAACGATCATAATCTTTTATATTGCTTTTTTTCCCCCATAGATTCTATAGTAACTCTAGCGGAATTCAATGCAACTCTTCAAAAAACGAATTCATCATTTTGTCCGTTTAATCTTGATATCTATTCGAATACGGGCCGAACAGCTTTACATGAAGCGATTGAGCAACAAAATTTTAAATTAGTTCATTTACTTGTTTCGAATGGTGCTAATGTAAATTTATCTTACGAAGAAATTTCTAGTCGAACATCTAATACAGACACATGTTTTGTAACACGTTCAACGGCATTATCATGTGCATGTCGTCTTGGTAATATACAACTTATTGAATATCTTATGAATTCTCTTGCAACGGATAAAGAATTTCTTGCATTTAATTCATGCAAGCAATCGTATCTTATCGGGCATCTACTTAAATATCGTGCTTTACAAGATAACGAATTTAAATTAACCAAACGGCAATTTGCATCAAATTCTTTATATTCGTTTGATGAAAAATTTTGGTCAAATATTGATTTATCAAAAATATGGATCAGCACCAATGAAGATAAAAAAGATGATAATAATAATATATCGGAAACAAATTATTCAGTTGAACCTGCTCTAAAACGACGTCCGAGTAAACGATATCAAATTTTGACAACGAGCTTTGAACATATTAAAAGTCATTTCTCATCAGCACGCCCGTTGTCCGCCACAACACATAGTCCATCATCATCGTCATCATCATCGATTCCATCGATACCAGTTGGAATTCAATGGCATCATTACGGTCCACTGAAAACTCTTGATCCATTATGGTTTATACAAGCATCGATATTTGTTAATAAAGATACGTTTACTCAATTATCAGATATAACAGCATCAAATCGTCATTTACTTTTTCATTGTATAACACGAATTGATTTATCAGATAATTCATTAGAATCTTTGCCAATATTTCTCTTACAAATGTATTCATTAAGAATATTAAATGTATCGAATAATCAACTCGGCGAACTGCCAAATGATAGTAACGTTTGGTTATGCCATCAATTAACCGAATTAGATGTTTCACATAATGCTTTAACTTATTTACCTTCGGCTATGTTTCAATTACGATCATTACAAAGAGCGTATGCAGGTAAATTTTAGACTATAGTTCATTTGGCTTTATAGTATAGAGCGTTTCAATAATTTTATTGAAACCTAATACGACGAGGATTCATGCTTACGTTAGCCGCAAGTTTTATGGCGGAAATAGATCCTACTTATGGGGAGCGAAATCATCTGTTTGGTTTTAAATCGATTTGGAGTTTCACTATGTTGTTCTGTTCTTGTTTGAATATCAAAGGGAAAAGTAGTCGAAATTCCCGGACTCAATGCGAGAATTTTTCAGTTTGTTATTGTTGATTCTTTAAATTTTTATCACATTGAGATCTTTAGTAGTACTTACATTCTGAAAAAGCGCTTGAAAGGGAGATAAGCGTAAATAAAGCTTCATGCTTTTCACTTCTAATACATTTTAGCTCATAATCAACTGCAATATTTGCCTGTGGAAATGTGGTCAGCACCAATACTGACTGATCTTAATGTTGCCAATAATTCCTTGAAAGAACTGCCAACACCAACGTTTGTCGCCGTTAAAAATGGCGATAAAAGTGGCCGCCATTTAACATGTACGTATAACGCCAATGCACCGAACTTAATTTGTAGACGAGATGCTTTACTAACACGCATAGTTAACAGTTGTTTCTTTGGGAATAACTCTGTCTGCATAATAAAAGAAGAAACAGTGTCAGTCTCGCTCACAGTCACCTCGCATGTCAGTTTAAAGTTCACATCGAAAGATTTTTTCAACCTGAAAATAAACTAGAACTATTTGTCTGTTTTTCAGCTCGACATTCAACGAATCAAAGTCGAACAACTAGTGAATTTCGTTCTCAAGCTACCATCATTTCGCTGAATAAACTAAATACCAATGAAGTTAAACCGACAACACTATCATCTTCTGTGACTACAGCTAATCTATCCACGGTTTCTCCTGCAGCATCTGCTCCACCTCGCTCGACAACTTTTGCTCAAATAGCACCAACAAATAATATTCCACCTTCGCCTGACGACGAAGATGAACTTGAGCGACGGTCACAATTAAAAATAACCTACGAAAATCCAGTTTCGCCTCCACCTGTATGTACGCCAGTAAAACGTTTATGTCTTTGGCAAAATCATATAACTCAATCGACTCACGATGATCAACAACAAGGGTCAAATGCGAAATCTTCATCTGCATCCGCATCAACAATAAGTCGTTTAAATAATTTAAATTTATCTTATAATCAATTTGAAATACTTCCACCAATGCTTTGCTGTCTTACTCCATATTTAACATCATTAAATCTTTCACACAACATTCTTACTGATCCATCAACGATATCTTCGTATCCACCCCGTTTGAAAATGCTCGATCTCTCATTTAATCGTCTAACGCATAGTATTTTAGTTGAATCATTAGTAGTCGCCTCACGACGAGAAAAATCCTATCGTAAAAATCGTCACTTTGATACAACAGCATCGGAAAATATTTGTTTCCGACCTGAATTAAAAGAACACAATAGCCAATCAGATATGTCAAAACGGCGTCGCAGTCGATCTGTATCACGCCATAAAGTTCTTACATCAACGAATTTAACAGTAGGAGTAAATCCACTATCAAAATCAGATCAAGCCGGTCAATGTTGCAGTCATCGACGTCATTCAAAACTAGAACTTTTACATGATCTCAATCTAAGTGACAATAAAATCAATGAATTATCATTACTCGTAAGAATATTTTGTGAAACACGATCTGAAAGGAGTGTTGAAGTATATAGGGTAGAAATTTGGACCCCCCCAGACCGTTACAGAGAAATTAATTAATCAGTTAATTGGTTAATTAATTAATTATTAAATTTCTCTGTAACGGTCTGTGGCGGTTTCTAGAGACTTCATACATCATAATACAGACTGTAACAGAGAAGCTCCGCAGACCATCAGTGACCGTGATAGTCGAATTCCAGAAAAGAAGTTTCATCGTGTTTCACATTTTAACCCCACAGGGATTGCACTGACAGCTTTTTCTTTTTATTACATTTAATGAAAACTGAATTATTATTTCTAGTCGATAGTCAAATCTTCTCCTGATATGGATATAACAGTATTACGTTCATCGTTATTATTTCCAGTGCTGACTCGCCTTAATTTAAGTCAAAACGAGCTTGTTTCGATTCCATCTAGTATTTCTCTATTAGAAAATCTTGGCACATTGATTTTACGTGATAATCTACGTTTAAAAGAGGTAAATGGTATAGAAAATCTTTTGTTTTTTCTGTCAAATTTTCGGTATTTTAGATACCATTATCTATTGGTTCAATGCAAAAGTTATGGAATCTTGATCTCCATGGGTGTGGACAGTCTGCTAAAAAATAAAGTTTCAAGCCTATAGAAAATGATATGCTTTTTTAAAAAGAACTTTAATAGGAACGAAACAAACTGAAATATTGACTCAGAATTACTTCCTATGAAATAGAGAATGATTGAATTCTACTGTGAAGTTCAGTGTATGGATTTGTGATACTATTCTTTGAAGTTGAAGTATGAATTGTTTAAACAAAAAAAAACAAGTTTTAGTTATTGTGATAAATATATTTTATATTTCAATACGCGTTAGCTTTTTTCCATATTAAACGATTTCATTCTTGTCAGCACAATTCAACGCAACAAATTTGATATTTTTTTTCTTTCTTTTTCAATTTATTGTAATCAAACAATATACGTAAATACATTGAATTCTTTTTTTGTTTTTCAATATACGTCTTAAACAATAAATAGATAATCATTTTTCTTCTAGATAATTAGTTTATTTGCAAAAATGCTTGGTGCACAACAAACTGAAATGATTGATATCACTAAAGAGCCGTTGTCGTCTTTTATTGCAAATAATTATCGAACAGTTGAAATTATTGCTTATATGAAAAGCTTATGTGATGAGTAAGAATTTTGCAGCATAGACATTTCTTAGTGCTATTTTAACTAATATTTAGCACGAAAACATATAATCGTATGAGACTAATGCTACTCGGCAGTGAACAAACAGGCAAAACATCACTCCTTCAAGCGTTTAAACGCGAAAATTATATCAGTAACAATAACAATACACAACAACTTCAACGAAAAGTAAATAAAAACCGAACTCTGATATTCTTAAGGATATTACTATATAAGCGATCGATTAATGCAAATTTAATGAATCTATTACGATTCATAGGTTCGATCATGTGCACAGCTCTGGAAGGACATTACATTTAAATCTGTATTATAAAACATACCATCATTTTCTCAGTTCATTCCTTTTTTTAAACATAATGCATAAATAATCCAAAGCCGAACTACTGAGATATTCTCATTGAAAGTCCAAAAGGTTATCTAGAATAAATAATAAAAAGTCTTTGTATAAACAAAACTAACGAAATCCATAACGTATGCGATCAATTTAAAGTTTACCCTCAAGAAAAAAAGCGGCATGTTTCAAATAGCGACGTGACAACTTTATAAGTATAACATTAATGTGACTCTTATAAAGATCAAGGTCTTTTCGCTGGTAAAGTTTATCCAGAAATTTCTTACAACAAAACATTTAACTATGTCTATGGGGAAATTCTTAACCTTTTCTCTATCTAAATTAATTTTCTAGAAATCCACAACAATTCGAAATTTTCCAATTGTTGATATATCCGAATGGATCTACGATAAAACTCCTCGTACATCATTAGGTCCAATTACGTTTCGTACTTGGGATTTTGGCGGACAGGTAATTAAAATCAATCAAAAGATTTTCCTTTCGAAATATTTTTATTTTATTCAGCATGAATTTCAATCGATTTATCAATATTTTTTTACACGACGTACTCTTTATCTAATCTGTTGGAAAATGAATGAGTACGATATGAATGAACACATCTTTGATACAATACATAATATTCTAATAAACATTCAAGTAAGTTTTTTCTTGATAACTCTGGCTTTTGTTTTCCTCTTGTCTATTCCTGACCAAAATAAAAATATATTTCTTCTATGCAACAACACCATGAATAAGAATAAAAAATTTAAATTCATCAGTTTCGATTTCCAACGAAAGTACATCGTCGGTTTTATAATTCCATAAAGATTTACTCATAATTACAATATTTTCTTCGATTTCTTTTGGATAAGTAATTACTTGAATAACGACTTTATAATTAGCTTTAATATGTTGACAAATAATTTGTTTTAAGTTTTCAGTTATTTCATAAGTAAATGTTCGAATCGCATTTTCATCGGTATATTTAAGTTGTTTTACTTGAGGCGAATTTATCAATTCGTTTATTTGATTTTTAATAGTCTGAAAGCAAATAGGTTTTTTTTAGCGTTGCATAGTCGAATAAAATACATACACCACTGAATAAATCATCAGCAAATTTGACAGGTACACCGTAGAGTTGTTCTTTTGTTTTATTAGGTTCTAAATTCAATGAGTGATACGATTAAACGAATATGAAAAATAAAACTAACATACTATTGATTGTATTTGAAAAGATCTTCGGTATAGAATTCGTAGCAGCACCTGTCGCCATAAAGTTAAGTTTTTTTTGCTCGCCTTTTCGTATGCGTTGAATACAAAGTGTCTTGTAGAATTAAAATGCCACAAAAAAGATGCCAATAACACTACGAACCGTCGTTCTTTCTCTTTTTTTTATATGATCACGGCGCGTTGCTCCTTCTCTTTCTTTGTATAAAAAGGGTACTCGTGAAATTTTGTCGACGATGAAGAAAACGTAAGAAAAAAAGAAAACGATAAATCTGAAAAAGTTTGAGTCGTCTTCTCTAATAAAGTATAATTTCAACCATTACGTAAATTGTATCAAAGAAATGAGAGTTGAACAAAAAGGTTCTATAATTAAGTGTATTTCAAAAGATTCAATAGAAGTAAGAAAAAAGGCTCGGTTAGAAATACATGCAATAGACATTTATATGCCCTGCTCTACATAAAATGAACCGAACAAACGCTTAACATCATCAAACTGTTTCAATGGAGTCATGTAATCGTACATGGATAGAGCGGAAAAGAAATAATAAGTCTATTAAAATTCGCATAAATCACATTTGTTTTTGGTTGATTAGACTGTTGCGCCTGGTTCATCTGTCATTCTTGTTGGTACACATCATGATCAAATAGTGAAATTAAAAAATTACCGTCAATTATCCGAAAATTTTCAATCGATTATCTATCAACGTTTTATAGATACATCGCAGAGTGAAAAATTAGGCTATCCAAAAGTTCTTGAATCAATTGAAATCAGTAATAAAACAGGTTACAATGTAAAACAACTTTGTACATTGATTTACGATGTTGCCGGACAATTACTTGCACCAAGTGCTAAAGATCAAGGAATATTTCAACAGAGAATACCCGCTAAATATATCTATTTGGAAGAAGCACTTGAAGAATATCGAATAAATAAAAAGACATCGATTTTAAATGATAAAGAATATCAGTAGGAATTTTAATTTAGTGAAATTTTTTTTATAAACGCTTTTTGCTTTTCTCAGAGAATTAATTAAGGAAATATCTCAAAAGAACAATTCGGTTCAATTTCGTGATTGGATTGAACTTCAACAGGCAACAAAATGGTTACATGAAAATGGTGATATAATAGAAATAATTGGATAATTTTTTCTAAATGTAATGATGCTTTCTAGGCATAATTATTCATTTCGAAGATACTTTATTGTCAAATTATTATTTCCTTGATCCTCAATATCTGGCCGAGTTATTAGCACAGTTAATTGCTTCGGAACAAACAAATGGCCTTGCAAGACATGGTAATTTTCCATATCTTAATTTCTTGCTTCATAAGGATTGACTTCTTACGATGGGTACCTAGACAAAGCTACAAAAGATTTAGAGTCATGATCAACTAGTGAGCAGATGTTCTTTGGAACATTGAATCTGTAACAATAAGATTCACAAGTCTTACCAAACGAGAAAACAGTAATCAAGTTTATTTGGGCATAGATCATGTGTAGAACATTTCTTTTGAACTTTCCGATCTACGAAATGTTTAATGAAGTTTTTTTTAGAGAGAAAGATGAGGTTGCAAAGTTTTGGTTGGTCGTAATTATCATAAGAAACCGAGCAGTATCGGATGCATACCTCTCTCGTGTAAGCTGTGAAAATTCCGTGTCTTAAAGTAAACGTGAAATTTGAGACTTTCGAACAGCGGATTCTTAATATGTTCGATTTCCTCAGGTCTTCGACTAATCTATGCATCCAAAGATTCTTATCCATTAGAAGATCATTAAACCGGGTAAAACATTTTAATCATTAACAGCTTGAAATTTTGTGGCTTGTATTTAGTCAACAAGTACAGTAGTACTAGACTATCGATAAATAATCCCATGAAAGAAACGCTTTCATTTCTCTCGTATTACAGTAACAGCTATTTTGTCGCCACTTGACATCTACATATCACTGGAAAAGGTAAACCCCAAAAAAAGCTTGATCTCTATTTAGGACTAATGAAAATCAAGGAATTACCCATGGCATTCGAAGATAAAAATGTATCAAACAGTCATAGCATATCAATTCTTCTTCCATTGTTACACAAATTCGACCTTGCAATCACATGGGACAATCAACATTTATTATTTCCATCACTTCTTCCAGTTCAATTGAGTTTAGACACTATTGTAACGGAAATTTAAACAAAAAATAAACACATCAATTATTACTTTACCATTGTTTTTCTAATTTCAGTCCAGCCATTGTCGTGCAGCGATCATATCTTCCTCGAGTGTCATTCTATTCAAAGAACCATCGAATCAACTTGAACATTTAAATCTTCTTCCACTCTCAAATTCAACCAAATCAACTTCATTACATTTAAAATATTTAGCACGCATTAAAAAAGACAATGATTTATATTCCTATATTCGTCGCTATTATCATTTAATTTTCATTCCAACTTGTTTTTGGTCTCGTTTATTCACGCGTTTAATTGGCGATAAAGAATTACAGAAAGCATTTCTCAATTATTTTCTTGTCGATCTCCAATCGAATCATTCAAATGAAAAAATAAAAACCATTCTCATGGCTGAATGCTCATGGATTGTTTGTCAAACAGGCTTAGAACTTCGATATTATGATTGTTGTCTTCTAAGAATCAATCAAATTAATTTACCACCTGCTACTATCGACGATGATATTTCATATTCATATTTAAACATCATTTTTCAATTTCATACCGACGAAGAACAAAATAAACAAATTTTACCATTTGACGACCATGGATCTTTAATCGAAATTCTTGTTTGTACGAGTGATCTACAAATGATCATAGATTCCAATGATGATGATGACAGTGAAAATTCAAATACATTTATTGTTGAATTGTTTGTTCAGCAAAATACAATCGCTCGTATATTAACAATATTAATGGCACATTTTGATGCTCTCTTAGAAGATTGGTATCCTGAGATGGGCACGAGATTTGTACAAAATTCGAAGGGGGACTATTTAATCAATCGCTTTATTCCATGCCATCAATGCTTGCATGAAAATGATCAATCAGAAAAATTTATTTGTCATACGTTTTGGTTAGAAGCATTGATGATGTTGATTGAAAAACAAATGGAAATAAAATGTGAAAAACATGGAGTAATTTCTCTTAAACTGGCCGCACCTGATTTAGTAAGGTTTTCGAGCATTTGCTTTCTTGGAATTTAATTAGAATTTTAGATTTTTCATGATTTATCGTCGAGTAATTTTATTATTCCATTTGAAACAATTAAATTGAAGAAATTCATTGGGCAAGGTACATTTGGGACGGTTTTTGCTGCTACATCATACAAGGTAAAAGTCTACATGCGGTTTTCTTCACATAACAATTGTGTTATCTAGTCGACGGTGGAGCTTGCTTGTAAAGCGTTTGTACCAATGGATTCGTCGATTACTACTGGTCTTATTGAACAGGCGCACGGTGGAAATAGAGATGAAGATAATGAAAAGAAAATATCTTTAGTAACTATTTGTAAAAATTGCTCAAAAAATTAAATTTCACTCTTGATATTCTAGCGTGATATTGCAAAAGAATGGACGCGTAATCCAATGCGTGCAGCTGCAAAAGCTTATATAAATTGTCGACAAGAACTATCAGTTCTTTTAACAACTGGTTCACATCCAAATATAGTTCCGCTAGTTGGTTTATGCATTCGACCGTTAAGTTTAATGTTACATTATGCTCCTATGGGCTCACTTGAATCGATATTGAAAGAATATAAACGAACGAATACTCAACTAGGATTTACTATCTATCAAAAATTAATTATTCAAGTATGTTTTTGCCGGATGATTATTATGAAACTTTTGTAGAAATGAACTTATTCAATTAGATTGCTAGTGCTATTGTTCATTTACATAAGAATCATATAATTTATCTTGATCTTAAATCAGAAAACATTCTTGTTTGGAATATGCCTCAACCACGTCTACCATCGAGTGGACAAGTTCTTGTTAAATTATCGGATTTTAGTATTAGTCGAGTATTATCATCGATTGGTAAGAATTTGTTTCATTCGTTATCACGTATTCATTGTATTTGCGTGTTTTAGGTACGAAAGGTTTTGCTGGTACCGAAGGTAAGCAAATTATTTAACACGAAATCGTTTTTGGACATTTGCTTATTTTTAATTTCAGGTTATATTGCTCCGGAAATCGTTCGATTTACAGGCGATGAATTATATACGGAAAAAGTTTTTATTTAATATTTTTACCTGTGAGAGAATTTCATGTTCTTCTCTTTTTCATAGGCTGATATATTTTCTTTTTCTATGCTCATGTATGAATGTCTCTCATTGAATCATCCATTCAGTAGAAATAAACGTGACCATGCACGAGAATTGATCTTACACGGTTGGCGACCGTCTTTAACTGAACAGGTATCTTGAGAAATTCTTATGTGCTTGATGTAATATTTACCGTTGATAGGAATTATCTTCTCCAACATTAATTCTTGATTTAATGGTTGCCTGCTGGTCCGAACATCCCAATGATCGTCCATCGGCAGATGATATTCATCGTTTATCGAGTTCAATAGAATTTTGCCATTTGATGGATGCCATTGAAATTGGTAATCGAGAAGACTTTAGTGATTCGTATGCATTAGCTACTGTTTCATATCGAGAAAGTAAAGGATTTTGCTTTCATCGGTTACGTATAACAACATATTCTTTGATTAGATAATGAGAATTTTGAAAATGGTGATAATATTGACGATGATGATGAGGCTGAAATTCCAACTGCAGATTGCTGGTTTATTCGACAATCGAAACAAGAACAACAATCGTCTATTGTTGTTGTTGCTTATGATCAATTCAATGCAGTTAGTCAACAGGTTTGATTACAAAATCATTTCTTTTTAAATTTAAATACGAATTTCACGCAAACGGCGAACAGAACTGGAGCCGGTTAAAAAAGGGCTCCAAAAACGAAATAGCCTGGGAGCAAATGTAAAAGACATTCATCTACACATTTTGACAGAAAAACATCCCACATATTAGTGTTTATGATCTAATGTAGGATTACTAACAAAGATTTCTCCAATATTTAGATAATCAATCTTGGCAATTGTGAAATTCGTGCAATTTATTACCATATGCGCGATCATGTTATACTCTTAGCTGATCGTCAAAACATGATTTATATTTATTGTACACAAACATTTCAAAAATTAAATCAATTTCTTCTCGTGCATCATCAACAAAATGGTCATCCAATACATATGACCGGTTTACTCGAAACGTCAACTTTGTTTTTACTATTGTCAGATAATTCAATATATAGTATTGATCTATCTCTAGCTTTAAATCGATCTCGAAATGTAATGTCATCGATAGCTGATCATTGCTATCGTTATGTAGCGAATGTTTCCCTGCCAACATTTAAAATTCTTGCATTACCAACCGCTAGCGGCCGAAAGTAAGAATTTATTTTTCAACTAAATTTTACAATCGATTTATGAAAATATTTTAGTGTCGAAATATGGTGTGGTTGTTCGTTAGGAAATTTACGTATTATCGATGTTCGTACTGCTCAATTATCTGTTCAATTATCGCATCATTTAATATCGGGATCAAGTGCTGTACATTTACTTTGCGTGGCTAAAACTTCAATTTATCAATATACTATTTGGACAGCTATGAAAACAGGTATTTTGAACTGTAATATTTTACTACTAATAAAAAATAAAAAAGAAAACATCGATATCGACGTCCTGAATCTCACTACAGCTGATAATTTAGCATTTCGTTTTGTTTAAAATTAATTTTTAGGAAATTTTGTTTGCATTTGGAACCATCTCTCTCGTCGTATGACCAATCAATTGGATTGTTCACAAATTATTAAACGATCTAACGGTTAGAATTTCCTGTTTGGTTAACCATTATCTTTAATTACTTCTTCTTCTTCTTAGATGAATCCAATGGTATTTCTATTGATTCAATTTTACCAACTCGAAACCTTGTATTCATTGGACTAAATACTGGCCATATAATTATTGTTAAAGCATCATCGACTCTAGTTTTGTATACTGTTCATGCCTATGACCAACAAGTATTGCATCTATTTGCTCTTTCTCCATCTGCTTTCTCGCCGTCGACGATAAATGAATCACATGATGGTCGATTTGTAACTCAATTTAAATACTTACAAGACAAATTTGAACAACATCGACTTAGCAGAGGTACAAATCCGCGTACTCCAATTCTAGCTAGAACTGATAATAATGATAGTGATCTTGATAATATATCTTATATGTTAGCGATCGGCTTCGGAGCAAAAGCATATCAATCAATTCCACAAGTACAACGGTATTCATCGGAGACGATTTTCTTACAAACATGGTCCTTAGATGATTTTATCCTTTAATACCATCTTATGTTGGATCTTTTCGGTAGATAAACAGTGATAAAACAGTTATCATTTAATTATTTCCGTTCGTCTGTGATCTTCGACACTAAATCAATACGATAATAATATGATGTGAAAACAAGACATGCCTTGCTTTTTGTTTTGTTTCTAGTCAATACTACTGCTTGATTTGTAAATATATATATGTATATTTATTAAATAAATAGAAGAACTGCTCAATAGTATGCTGCAAGAAATCTTATATTTCGATTTAATCAATTACATAATTATAACCGATTGTTTTGCTTTCATTGTTGATTTCAGTGATCGGATTGTTAATATAAATTCACAAATTTAATCATGCAGATCATTTTTAAATTACCCAACGAGATTTTAATAGAATTTTTAAACATAAAACAAGCCAATAATTTCAAATTTGAGTAGAAATTCGACCAAATACCTTGAACATGATGTTGTATACAATCACTTCACCTTTATGCAAATACTTACTCCCGGCAAGCTTTTGTGTACGTCACAACATACTCAATACGCTATCAGGTGCGTGAGTGAGTCGGGATAAAAAGCCGCTGGTAAGTTATCCAAGGTTGTCTGATGTTTTTGATAACCCTGAGGCTCATAAAGCGAGGATCCGTTCAATACAAAGTCAATTCTTTGATAAACAAATATGATTTTATTCGCTGATAAGAATGATAATACACAATGTTATACCTTTAATAAATTTCATAGAATTTATAGTGTCATAAAAAACGGAAGAATAGTATATGGTGAATACTAGCGACATCCATATAATGACACATGCTAAACTTTCCATTGGATGTATCGTCATCGAGCAGAAGTGTTGCTCCATTTTCGGTTAAATTATCACGTAGAATTCAATACAGGATTCAGTTTGTTTATGAAGATTTGATATTATTGTTCATTAAAACTTCAAATCTCTACAACCCGAATTAGTATATTTGGTGTTTAGGAATATTTTTCGTGCAATATTAAATTATTACACCTATTAACAATGTATTTTTCATTTGTAATTCTTTTGGTGTCGACAATTAATCTTATTTCCTGTGGTAGTTCGAATGCTGGCCATCTTAAACCATTTGGTACAGTTGGATCATTAATGAATATTGAAGAAATCAATGGAGAATATCCAAATATTTTAAAATTTTTTACACATTACGTACCAAAATTAGAACCAATTGTGTCTCGTCAAGTACTAATTAATGATATGCACTATAATATATGGCAAACTGATAGGCAACTTGAAAATGAAGTTGATGGTTTATCGAAAACGAATATTAATGTGGAATCAATCAAAGAACGAAAACGATTTCAAATGAAATTTGGTGATTTTTTCGATCAATATACGAAGGAAAGTTTATTACTTGCTGACTATGTGCCTGAAATTCTTCGGTATGATAGCATCTTAATTATATTTTACATAGAACTTGCGTTTCTCGTCATATCTAAAACATTTCAAATAAGCTCATTTCATCTGTGTTCCATCGTGTACTTGTTTAACATGGGAATTGAGGGACAGGACGCCAAGATCAATATCGTATAAAAAAAGACACCAAGTTTGAGTATCCAATCAGCAAGTATTAAGCAGAACTGATTTGCTAATTATCCTTGATTATTATTATCAAATGAATGTGTTGGATTTATTAATTGTAAGATACACATCATTGACAGAATGCATTTTCGGAGGGTCTTGAACCCGTTTATAGCCATGCAGATCAATAATTACCCTTTTTTTGTATTATGAGCGACGTATTACAAGTAGGGGTGAATAGTTGATTTTAATTTGAGTCAATCAAGTGGTTTTACTTAACACTTAATATGAAATTCATGCAAAGTGCCACCCCTAATTGTAAGCATTTATTAATCAAATTCTAACCTTTGGGAATAAGTAGAATTAAAATTATCCGTATAAATGTATCGAAATCAATAATCCTCGGATGGCTCGAAGATTTTCAAGGCAGCTATTGAGTAGTTGTATAAAAAGAAGTTAAATAAAACGTTGTTGATTAATTCTTCCAGTTGAATTACTCCTACATGTGTTACAAAATATATGTATCAGTGGTTAGTTTCGATGCAATGGGAAAAGGTTACCCGAATACAACAGAAAAAGCCAATTAATCGTGAATTAGAATAGTATAGATTTAGTGATACCCATATAATCACTTTATCGGATTCGCGTGCAAAATTTTGTATTCGAAGAATAATTGAGTAATTGTAAGAATAAAACACTTTATTATGAATTCTTTTTTTTCTCTAGTAAATATATTGTCGTTCCGCGGCCTTTACAATGTGATGAAGTTGTACATGCATTACAATCGCCAGTTCGTTATTGATTCTTTAGATTTTTTCTTTCTCTATTCGGATGCTGATTTTCTTCATAGGTTCTACTTATAAATGGTATCAATACCTCACCGTTAATGTTCAATGACGAACATGATTTTTTCTTTTGCCTTCTTCGTGGAAATAAGCGTCTTGCACTTGTCAATACAAATCAGCATCCTGCTGCACGCCAAGTGAGTAAAGTCAAAATCTTCGTGCCATATTTCGAATATATTTTGCATAGATTGTTATTCCCGATAAACAAAAACCTCGCCGACCACCACTCAATCCAGAACAGTAATTTCTTTATTCATTGTATGAATACATTTCATTTCTATTTTTTAGAGTTGACTTTAATCAATATCCTGAATTAGAAAATATTGAATATCATGTTGCTAATTTAACTGCCGGTGATTGTATATTTATTCCCAGTCAATGGATATTTCAAGAACGTTCCTTAGATAATACAATATCAATTCTATACAATATTAATCATAAACAAGCATTACAACTGAATCTACAGGAATTAAAAACCTGTTCAGAAAGTGATCCATTAGATTCGTCACTAACCCTTGATCGCATCGATTGGACCGCTATTGAAAGTGACCCAGAAAATATAAGGTAAAACTATTCGTTGTATATTTAAATCTTATTTTTAATTTATAGAGATTTAATAATGAATTTAATTAATTCGCCAACAAATACTTATGAAAAATGGCAAGAAGCATTTTCGAAAGTAATTGATGATTAATTAAAAGAATTCAATTTAAAAAATTTTCTTTTTTGTAGTATTTTACATTTGACATAACTTCGGATTCTGACATATCCGCTATTTTTGATGAAGTAAATAGAGTGAGAAACGAAAAGAATGAAATGCATTTTGTTTCTTTAGTTTTATGGTATTATTGATATAGATGGTAATGGCGAAGTAACAACGGCTGAAATCGAACAAATTAATGGAGTAGTAAGAAAACTTTTTTTTTAAATATATTTTCAATTGTATTAATCAAATAATTTGTTTCTCAGCATCAACATCACATATCGGATGTTTTATATGAAATGATGAACTTAGTTGATGAGAAACGAAAACTTGCCTCAGCGACAGCTCCTACTACAGAAGATAAGAATGCACAAGAAACAATAGAAAATGAAGAATCCAGTGACTATGAGGATGATGATTTACAAAATTACAAAGAGGATTTATGATTTTTTATTGCAACAATGTGAACAGCCTAAAATCTCAATTTTTTGTTTGTTTTGTGAAATGTTTTTAATAATATATTCATCAGTGATTAATTTTTGAACAATATCAAAACATTTCTAGTCTCAACATCTTCAGATACTTCCATCATGAGTGGTCGCTATTTTAAAAATAACTATCCTGATTATAATGGTGAACAATATCTCGGTCCTGACAATCAAGTTCGTGATTAATAATATTTCTTGATATATCGTTGTTGATGTTGTATTTAGTTATCTCCTCCACTAAAATCAACTATAATACAATGGATTGAACAACATTTGCATATACTTGAACAGAATCTCAATCGAATGGATTCATCTGATGGATCAGTTTACACTGGTAGTGCAGGTAAAATTTTTCTCTTTTCATTTCGAAATTTTGTCTTAATTTGGAAAATTTAGGCGTCGCATTACTCTACTTACGTCTTGCACAAGTTTTACCAGATCAAAAAAGTCGTTTTATGTCACAAGCAAAAACATTGATTGATGCAGCATTAAGACTACTTGATAGTAAAACAATATGAAAATTCTATTATGATTTAATTTGTATGTGTAAATTGAATTAGGAAGAGTTGTAACGTTTTTATGTGGGGCGCCGGGACCCTTAGCTATTGCAGCAGTAATTTATCATAATGCCGGTGATCAGAAAACAACCGATAGATATATAGAAAAGTAAGTAGAGCTAGAGAAAATAATTCAGTGATTTCTTCTCAGAATTCTATCCATGAAGACAAATGCATTGAGCCATTCAGTTCCCGATGAATTTCTATATGGTCGAGCTGGTTATCTTTTCACATTAATGTTTCTTCGGAGAGAAATTGGAGAGCATGCCGTCGATCCTCAAATTATTACTGAAGTAACTAAAATAAATTAAATATTTAAAAAAAATGAATTTCTTTTTCTTATCAGATTTTTGAAGCGATGATAAAATCAGGCGAAAAATATGCACGAGATACACATTCAAAATCTCCATTAATGTATCAATGGTACAAGACAGAATATTTAGGAGCAGCACATGGTCTTTCCGGAATAGTTCATTGTCTTCTAAAAGTAAAATAAATTTTTCTTTTTCAATCGTAAAATCCATTTCACAGGTGACACAACATGAATCCTTTGCCCATCTTCGTCCATATGTAGATTCTCATCTAATGCCAACTGTTGAATATCTCAAATCAAGACGTTTGGCAAGTGGCAATTATATGTCAGCAAATGATAGTAAATCAGATATACTTGTGCAATGGTGCCATGGTGCATCCGGTTTTGCATATTCATTTAGTCGAGCCTATCAAGTAAGTTGAATGAATATTCTAACTGCCAGAAGAAGTGAAATTACTTGAGATTCATCCCTATTGATGATTCTACTCAGTGAGCGATTTTAATAGGAAATGAAGGACCATTAGGAAAAGGATTTTTACAAGAAAATCAGTTAAAAATAACTTTTAAAACTTTGATATTCAAGAGATGGGATTCAAGGAAAGCAAATACTTGCGTGTAAATCGATTCTGAACAGGAATATCGGGTTTATTTCGGTTCATTCTTTGCATGCATCGTAGTAAGTTAGAAGTCGATGAAAACTAATCCTACTCTACTTGAGAAAATAATAAGATGTCATTTCTGTCAAAAATATTTTTTTTTATAATACTTTCCAATACATCGTTACGTATTGAAGACGAGCAAGAATTTTCTATTTATTTTAGATCACTGGTAATAGTTCATACATCGAATTAGCTTCATCGGCCGGTGATATTATTTGGGAGCGTGGAGTTTTAACTAAAGGCTATGGTATTTGTCATGGTACAGCGGGCAATGGTTATGTATTCCTTGATTTATACCGTGTAACAAACGATACAAAATGGCTTCATCGAGCTTTGAAAGTCAGTTTATAAATTGAATTTCGCTTGGGATTATATTTTCTTTTCGCATAATTAGTTTGCTGAATTTTGTTTGGATTATGGAAAACATAATTTACCAAAGGAACCTGATTGCCCTTATTCATTATTTGAGGGTATATATAGTTGCTTTTCTAAAGATGAAATTTCAAAGAAAAACATTTGTCTCTTTAGGTTTGGCTGGAACGATTTATTATATGGCCGACATACTCAATCCAACACATGCTCGATTCCCAGCATTTGAATAACGAAGAGAAAATGTTTTTTATTCTTTTTTTTGTTGTACAACGAAGCGTTTTTTCCTCGCGAAATGTCAGCGTAGCATGTTACACAATCAAACACACGTTTTTGATGTTTCGCGCATCTGAATAAATTGATCTCTGTTTTTAGATATGACTACTGCAATGGACACCTCGTCGGTAACGAAAAACAAACGTAATGAATTGACATCAACATCAACTACAGATTATATATCAGGATTCGATCTTATATCAATCGAAGGCTATCGTCAAGATGGACGTAAACATGATGAATTACGAAATTTTCGTGTTTCATTTAATGTTGTGCCCGATGCCGATGGTTCGTGCTATATGGAACATGGAAATTGTAAATTACTTGCAACTATCTATGGGCCCTACGAAGGAGAATCTCGGTCAAATCAAGAGCAAGCTGTGATTACCTGTGATTTTAGTATGACATCGTATTGTGTTAGTGAACGTCGATTACGAACATTCGGTGATATGAAAAGTCAAAAATTGCAAATGGCTATACAAAGAGTTTTTCAACAAGCTGTTATTACTGAAACGTATCCTAAATCACAAATTGACATTTACTTGAAAATCTTACAATCAGACGGAAATGATTATTGCCCATGTGTCAATGCAACAACATTAGCATTTATTAATGCAGGTTAGAATGATGTTTATTAACCAAAGATTGTTTCGATAAGGAAAAGAATTCGAAAATTTTATGATAGCAGATAGAAGATCAATGTTCTCTTGGACGACAGCTAAAGAGTTGTGTCTGAGTTTGGTATAAGCAGGCTAAATTTATGTTCTCGCTGTTGAAAAATTAGTCTTATTTGTGTCGATGAATATAACATTTGCCTCTAAAACAAAGGGAAATATAAAAAAAAGCCGGAGATGGTTTTCCCACCCTACATTGACATATGATTCCTGTAGGAATTTGCTTGTCTTGCGTGTGATGTGATGAATTCAAAACTATTTACATGAAAATAATCCATTATTGCATTGAATAGGAATTCCAATGAAAGATTTTGTTTGTTCATCAACAGTTGGCTATATACAAAACAAATGTATTATTGATCTCAATCAACAAGAAGAACAACAGAAATCGCCTCAATTAACATTAACGATTATGCCACAACGTGAAGATATTGTTGGATTGTCATGTGAATCACGTGTTCATCATGATATCTATAATGAAATGTTAGATGCAGCAACGCGTGCTAATCTACAATTATTTAATTTAATGAAACAAGCTGTTTTTCAACAATTGAAAACTGCTTTACATGTTTTATAAATAAAAGCAAAGAAACGAAATGGTTTGAATTTTGTTTCTCAACTGATTTTTCTTTTCGTCAACTTTCAATAAGATCATGTCTCTTCTTTCTTTCTGTCGATTTTCAGATATGTGATGTTATTATTCGGAAATAAATTTTATCTTATTTTTATATCATTGTGGATCTTTGGACTTTATTGTATATTTACATCATTTCATTCAACACCGAATAATAATAAAGTATTTGAAGATCGTATTGAATATTTACAAAATGAAGTTGATTCACTTCGGCAAAAACTTGCTCAATTACAATCCGGAAATAATATCAATGATCAAGTAAAAGTTGGGAAGTGAGTTGATTTTCAAATTTTATGCTACTCAAATAGAAATCTGATGTACGAGAGTCACTGGCGGCGAGTCCTATTTGTTACAGCAATCATTTGATTGGAAGAGAATGAAAGTCGAATAAGTTTTCATATTCTCCTCTGATATAAATTTAGGATTGATAAGAACTTGAAAAAGTCTATTCATCATATTTTAGTGAGAATGTTCAGTGTCAAACATTAGAGAATGAAATGAAACGACTGAAACGAGCATTAAGATCGAAAAATGGTGGCGATGGTACTACTTCTTCCCGTGGTAAATTTATCATTTGAATCACTCCGGCTTATTTTAATAATGAATTTTGATTTGTAACACTTAGAGGAACCTAGTATGGAATATGAAAAACTGCGAAGAAAAATTGAAATGCAAGCACGAGAATTAACTTATTTTACAACTGATCAATTGAATAAGATATCTGGAAAATTAACAGATGATGATAAACAAAAATGGGATAATGTTATATTACGATTTGCTGATCAAAGTAGGTCTGTTCTGATAAAAGAAAAAACTATTCGATAAAAAAATTCAACTATATTTATGATTTCATTTTTAGAGTTTTATTAGCCTCAATTCGAAATATAACCGAAGTCGATGGATATCAATTGTGGCGTGAACGTGAACATGCAAGTCTTTCTAAATTAATGCAAGCACGTTTAAATTCACTACAAAGTCCAATAAAACCGTGCGAAAATGTTAAACGTGTGACATGCAATATAAATAAAGGCTGCGGTTATGGTTGCGAAATTCATCATGCCATGCATTGTTTTCATATTGCTTATGCAATTGGTCGACCTCTGATTCTTTTCTCGGGTATGTCAGTCATGATTTCCATCAAATTGTCAAAATTTAGCCAAATCTATTTTTAGATGGATGGCGATATAATTCTGGTGGGTTTGATCAAATATTTTTGCCACCCAGTCAAAATTGTACAACATCATCGGCGACTGGCGCATCATCTTGGAGTAAAAATTGAATTTTATTTTTGTCTATATTAGTTACAGAAGGAGAAATCTATCTTCAAATGTTTCATAAACTATTCGATCAATAACGAGCCTTTTCGAAATGATGGGTGTATAAGCGTGCATTGTATACGAGAGCCAGGAGTGTTTGTTTTATTGAGAAATGAGATCGAGGACGAGTGTTTAAGTAGGTAGCGAAGAAATTTAGACTTGCTCTCCTCAGAGTATTTGCAGAATATTTTAACAGTTGTATCGTATTTTTTCAGGCAATTATGAAACAGCTGATGTTGTTGAAATTCCACTGATTGATAATATTTATCCAAGAAAAGATTTTATGCCGATGGCCGTTCCTGAAGATATCGCCGAAAGACTTATTCGTTTACATGGAAATCCATTTGTTTGGTTCACTGGGCAATTAATGAAATATCTATTGAGACCACAGCCATGGTTGAAAGAATTTATGGAGAAGAAATATGAAAGTATTAAATTTGAAGTGCCGATTGTCGGGTAAATGAAAATTCATTAGAATTTATTTTTTATTTTTACTTGAAACTTTAAATTGAAGAGTTCATGTACGACGAACAGATAAAGTTGGAAGTGAAGCCGCATTTCATGACATTTCAGAGTATATGAAACATGTTGAAGATTATTATATTATTTATCAATATCAAAATCCAAATGTAAATTTTACAAAACGAGTTTTTCTAGCTACTGATGAACCGGCCGTTTTTAGTGATGCGCGTTCAAAGTAAGAATTGTTTGTTTGCTTATTTTCCATAGAAAATAATTTCTTTTATTTCTCTATTAACAATTAGATTTCCAAATTACATATTCTATGGTGATACAGCTGTAGCAAAATCTGCCCAATTGAATACAAGATACGGAACAGAATCATTGAAAGGTGTACTATTGGATATTCATTTTCTTTCTTTATGTGATTATTTGGTTTGTACATTCTCGTCACAGGTATGATACTTTTTCTTAAAAGCAAATAAATTTTGCAGACAAAATGTCTGATTGAGAAGATCTCGAATTTATGCGATAATCTTAGCAACTAATGAAAAGATTTTGAAAGATGTATTGTTATTGTTTGAAATTTAGATTTGTCGTGTTGCCTATGAAATCATGCAACAACGATTAGTCGATGGTGCATGGCGTGTGCAGCCGCTTGATGATGTTTATTATTTTGGTGGACAAAATGCTCATAATCAACGTGCTCTTCTACCTAATAAAGCTGTTTGGCCAAATGAATTTAGCTTTCAACGAGGTGATATCATCGGTACAGAAGGAAATCATTGGGATGGATTTTCAAAAGGATCAGATAAAACTAATGGTCAAACAGGTCTTTATCCATCATATAAGACCGAAGAGATTGTCAATGTCGCAAAAATGCACGCCTATCCAGAAGTGCGAGTTAACGTAGATGAATTTTAATTTTTATGCCAGAAAAAATAAACATTCCGTTCATTGAGATTATTTTTCTAATTTGGATAGTCGTGTCCGAGCTAATCAAAACTTGTACTTCAAATGCGAGCCAACGCCTTTTTGTTTTATTGACTATCTTGTCCGTCAGTCAATTACTCATTTTATTTTCTCGAACATTGTTTTTTTGTTATGTGAAGATTCTCTTTTTTTTGTTTTTTTTCGTTACTAATTATAATAAAGTGTTCAGCGGAAAAAATAAATTGATGATTAGAAAGTGTATCGTAGTCTTTTTGTTTGTTCAGTTTATGTTACTGAAATGAATTTTCTTTTTTAATGCTAAAAACAATATAACTAATAATTATTATAGAAAATTTGAATCTGAATTTTTATGGGTCGTGTCAATCGGGGAGACTTCAAGGTTGCGCCACTATAGGTAGAAGTAGGAAAAAATTCTGTCTCTGGTGATTCAAGAATTCTTATATCAGCGTGTAAATCGTAACCATTGATAATAGTTGCTAAGTGGTGGCAACAATTTTAAGAGGAATTCATTTTTTAATTTTTTCCTCAACAGTTTTCTATCAAGCGAGCTGCCTTTTAAATTTGCATGACAAATTTTGTGAAAAGAGTCTTTCAAAGATCCAGTCTCCAAAAATCTATTTTATGGATTTGATCAAAAACATTTCAAGGATAACTTCATCTGATATAGTACACATTTCTGAACAAAATTCGTACATTGATTAAGATGGGAGCTCCGAATATTGATGCCAGTTGAAAAAAATTGCCCCCACTCCTATTTCCAATCGATTGTTTTACAAGAATATTAAGAAAATTTATTTCATATCAAAATAAAAATAGTTATAATAATCAAGATTAAAAGCCTGCAAAGTCATATAGTCTATTTTTTGTTTGGATGCGAATATTTAGAGCGATGATGAGGATCTTTATCAAAACATTTATTACCATGTCGACATGGCGTTTTATCTTGATTTGAGCCTCTATGACCTTGATTTCGATCTTCATCCGGATGTGAAAATTTTGAGCAATGTTGACGATCATTTTTGTCGCGACAGTCGCTTCCATGCCGACAAGTGATTCGTGCAGAGTTTGAACTAGGTGAAGATTCACGTTCATCTGGATGTGAAAATTTTGATCGATGCTGACGATCATTTTTGTCGCGACAATCGCTTCCGTGGCGACAAGCGATTCGTTCAGGACTTGAACTGCGCGCATGTTTAACTCTATTTTCACCAGGATGTGAATATTTAGAACAATGATCGTTGTCATCCTGATTCCGACATTCTGTTCCAAATTGGCATACCGTTCTACGTATTTTATCTCGAACTACTTCTCCTTGCTCACCATGTGAATACTTTATTCGATGATCCGATGTTTTATTATGACAACTCGATCCATCTTGACATGGAATAAGAAAGTCAGGGTAGCCTGGATGCCGATACTGCGCTCGATGAACAGGATCATGAAGTTTTTGACAAGAACTCTTAGATGGACATTGTTTTGCTCGGTGCGGCTCATGTGTTAGATTAGGCTCTTTCTCTTTATTAGTGCAAAGTTCAGAGTATGGACAAGGATGAGAATATTTTTTCATATGTTGCGATTCTCCTTGAAATAGACAATTGATTGAATAGGGGCAGGGACCAAGGCTTTTATCATCAGCATCATAACCAAAAAGACCAGCAACAGCATTCGCAGCTTTTCGAATAAACGATGGAGGCATATCGCGAGTTGATTGTGCAATATTGGGAGATGGAGAGCGGCTACGTAGATGAGGCGATTTCCTATTATGAAATGGATCATCCCCTCGCTTGAAATTTCTATCGAATAATGGATGTAAATCGGGAATTTTTTCGAAGTTAATAGTTAAATTTCTGATTGGTACTTTTTGCGAGCCAGCACTTACGTGAACGTAGTCTAATTTGCTTAAATCAAGTGTTGTTTTCGAAAATCTACACGTTATCGTTTCATAACAATAAATACTGTTTGGCCCAGCGTGTGACAGTGTTGCTTGACCCGTTTTTTTCTCGATTTTAAGACAGTAGGTAAGAAAATTTTCAATGTTAGCACCACGATGAAATGTACGTGAACTACTCGAACATTTACCAGTAATCTTTATAACACTATGCCTGTATGGTTCGCCAGCATTTAAATATGAATATGTTTCACTGTAAGTGGCAGTTATAGTTGATGGTCTCTCAGCAATATAACAAACAAGACATTGAATATCCGGTTGAGTCTTATCAGGATCGATTCGTTCATCCGAAAGAGTGACCATCATATCACCATACATTGTTTCCCAATAAATATATATGTCGTCGGAATTCGAGCTCTGTTTATGAGTTCGAAGATATTGAGTACGCGCTTGACCGATTGTTGGCGGTAACATAATGTGATCCGTAAATGCACTTGGTGCTAGAGTGAGGACAGAGCCATGCAAATGTCTTGTACGGTCCTTTCGTTTGTTAAATTTTTCTATTAAAGCACTCATCACATAATCTTGATAGTCAGCACGACTCTTATCCGATGGCTGCGAACCTCCACCACCGGTATCAGTCAAGTTAATTTCATGCTTGGTAATATGAAGTGAATCACGGAAAATTTTCTTTGCTGACTCTTGTGCTGCTGGAGTCAGCGAATCAAATAGATTTTTTGCTATGTATACTTCTTCAATATAATCGAGAGGTACCAGTTGAGGTAGATGTGCCTCGAGTACTTGATGTGAATCAACTTTCTTCCAATGAGTAATAATGTCTCGCACATCAACATTTATTGTATTTCTCAGTAATCCTGATATAACGATGAGTTCTGCTGCTGCTGCATATTCGTATCCCGGTACAGCACAATGCAATTTCGATTCATGAAAACATTTTATTCTTTCAGGTTCAGTACCAGGATCTTTAACCCATGGTCGATGCTTAAATGTACTACCACTTGCAAATGATGTGCCTGCTTGTGGAGAGAAATTGGCGTCTGGGTGTAGCATTACTTCGCTTTTAAATACAAGAATTATATCTCCATAATAATGACCGAGATGTGGCCCAAGAATACTAAAAACATGTTTATCAGTACCTAACGCTTTATCAGTTTCATATTTGATACCAGTTGGAGCTTTATGAAGATTCCACGAGGCTTCAGCAATATCAATGGCGCATTGTTTTATAATATTAAGTTCGTCTGGTTTGATTAAAGTGTGTAAAATTCTTTCTTTTCTACGTATTACATCGTCATTATCATCAGATCCACCTGATGCTGTTGTGTCGCCAGCAGCATATTTTTTACCGTATTCCAGAGAAACAATAGCTTTAATATATTCTTTAGCATTATCTTCGATAGGTGCCATTTTATATCGATCAAATATTCCACGCACACGTTTATGTTCTTGAACAGCTTGAGCTGCGAAATAGGATCTTTTTAAATTTTCCATATGATCACGAGACATGACATGGCCATGTACAAGTATCGATTCGAAAATTAATTTGGAACATCGATGAATAGGCTGTAGGCCCTTAACCCATTTTTGAACTTCTAACGATACAGATAGCTGTTTGGAATGTGTATCTTTCACATAGGTATTTATTGTTTGAATAATTCTTTCTTGATTTTTAACAAAATCAATTTTGTGGTTCTGCCCAAAACAGCCGATAACTCCACTGTTGTCGTATCCACCATGATGTCGATATTCTATAATATGTTCAGGTTTTCGCCTATCACGACATTTATACGTTGGGTAACTGCATAAAAGGCGAATGTCAGCTATACCTGGATGTGAGAACGAATTTAAATGATCTTCATCATATGTTTTTGCACATTTATCACCAAATGAACAGATGTTACGAGCAATATGAATTGTAGTTTTCCAATGGATGTCTGATTTATCACGACATTGACGGCCGTACCGGCAAACATGCGAATAGTGAAAACAGTGATTTTGAACATCGATCCCTAATGTTTTTGTATCTTTTGCCTCACCAAAACTGTTGTATTGTCGGCAATGAAATGGAGTAAATGAACATGGTTGTAAAAAAGGATGGTTTTCTTCGCTTAAATGTTTTTCGTCATGAAATTTGGTACAGAAATGACCAAAGCGGCACATCGGTACACAATGACGGTAGCTTTGACAGTGTTCAACTGATCCACTATTGAAACTGACACATTCACGACGATATTTACATAGCGGCAAGTGTTGATAAGCTTTAAGATGTTCAGCACCCATGTTTTCACATCGACCACCATCTCGACAAAATTCAGGATGTTCAAATTCATTCGAATGCATAAAATCAGTTTCTATTAATTCACATTCTCCACCATATGAACATTTTTCACGATGTCTGAACCAAAGCATATGCTGAGTATCATTTTTCTTTTTACATGGAGCTGTATCATTTGTGTAAGGACATAAAGGTGGATGTGAAAATTCACGACAATGTTGTTCAGTGTTCAAATCGTTGCATTTTCCTCCATGAAAACATGGATCCAAATAGCGGATTCGAATATCACTTAACGTTATTTCTTTACTAGTTTTTTGATCTAAAATTCGCCAAGGTCCAATCATCATGTCTACAAGATATTGTCGTTTTGGTTCTTCTTCTAAATTATCGAGTAATTTATGAAAAGGACGATAGTTTCCAGTTGGGTTCAAGTCTTGGCCTGCATTATGATCATCCACAATAGCAAAATAGATGTATTTGAAATATCCAGCATATTGTTCAATAACTGATTTGAATATTGCTGCAACATGTTTTGGCGGATTTCTAAATGCACCACAACCAAGTGCAGATAGAACAAGGCTATCATGTTTTTGATGGTAAGCTATAGCAAATATATTTTCAATTTTTTTTCGCATTCCAAGAGAGTATTTGGAAGTGAGAAGGTCGTTTTCAATTTTCGGATCACGATAGGCAGCCATTGCAATGGCACATACATCGTACATTGGTATATCCATGAAAGTGTAGCCAGTATCTTCAGGCTGCCGAAAAACTGTCAATCCTGCTGTGTAGATTGCCCCGAATTCGTCCATTTCATACATTCGATCACCTTTACCTAATGGTTCTAAATCACAATTTGAATTACAATAGAAGCGTGCTGTTGGTTTCCCATCATCTAACTCAAGATCGAGACTTTGGAAATAATTCGAGCGACGAAAAAGTGTTTCTTCTTGAGCTCCATCTCCTCGTTTGTAGCCACCACCTGGACTGGTAGCATTAGCCATATTAAGAACAACTGGTCGGCAACCTTTATTTACTAGATTCTTATAAACTATCAAACAGTCTTCATTCACTACACTAACTGATGTAGATTTATACGGGAATTCTGTAGCATGCGATAACGACATTGTCTTACCACGCTGCAATTTTGACTTATGATCATAGAGAATTGTTTTTAATCGATCTGGTTTTAATTTGATTTCTTTGTCACCTATACGATAAAAGCCTCTTTTTACTACACCAATTGTATTCAACATAACTGTCATTCGTAATAGATGACGTTTCAGATTACATAATTTTTCAAATTTAACTTGATCTTTTTCATTAGTCTTACGTTCATTCGATGTCCACAAACGGAGTTGTTCTAAAAACACTCTTGGATTCCATTTAAATTGAAAAATAGGATGTTGAGGATTAGAAATAAATGGCATTATATCGGGCTTATGATCAACCATCTCTGTTTCATACCAATTTTCAGCATCAATTTCACTATTTTCAGGATTACTTGTAAACGTATAAACTTCAATACCTAATAAGTGTTGATCAACGCGTACAACACCTTGATCAATACACTTCTCATAAATACTTCGATCAGAAAGTTCGAGAACGACATGTTCATCGCTAGGGAATATTTTAACAACAGCATCACCAAACATTTTATGATTTCGGATAAGTGAAGTTGACACCCCTTTGGGTACGGTGCGTATCAATAAGCGGCAAGCAAGGCTGTCCTTTTTCATAAAAGAGCGCCCATCTAATAGAATTGAACTATGTAGGGCCCATATTCGAGCTCTTCCTGATGTCAGCACAATAGCATTACCATTTGCTTTATTATACTGTATATGTATTAATTCTTTGGACATGTATTTATCAGAGATTTGACTACTGATTCCGTCGGTCAATCGATCTAATGTTGTCGTTCGTGGTAAATCTTCAAAGAAAGCACAATCAGCACGGAAATAAACAGTTGCGAACTGTTTATTGATTGAGAACTCCTTAGTTGACATTGCAGGGAGTAGTTCATCTAATGAATGTGTTATTATTCGATAGATGTTCGGAAATTGAGCAGATAGTCGTTCACATTGTGGTTCCGATTGCACCTTGTACAGATGAACCCATCGTCGACATATGTCATCTACTGATGGAAGATCTTTTGTATCCATGTTATCAACAACAATATAAGATACTAGTTCCAGTTCATCGACAAATGATACCATTGTATTTTTGGATGTTTCAATTATAATTTTTTCGATAATATTAGTTAAATTATGCTTATCTTCATCAGTATGTAAGTAGACAATTCCAATGCCTAATTTGGCATCACATTTAACATCGACTATTTTTTGTTTATGTTTAAGTTCTAAACATTGCCGAATCATACTTTCGAGTAATTGATTACTATCTATGTTAACAGGCAAATCTGGTATATAAACTATGATAGGTTCACTTTTGTTTGATTTTTTTGACGATGACGGACCTGAAAAACAATGTTTTGAATTGATGAAATAGATGTGCTTTGAAGATTTATCAAAAAAGAGTCGCATTTCGGCTAGCTCATTACAAGTTGAACACGATTAAGTCGTGACTATAGTTCGAACGAAGAAATAAAATTGTGTGGATATCAAGTAGCTGTAATTGAAACTATTCTTCAGAACACTCAGTGCAAGGGCAGCATACTTTCAGGAAATCCATTTGAATCGGATGTTATCTCTAGACATTTAATTGAAACTCTTTTACACATATGAAATTCTTAAAATAATAGTGCATCGCACGTATCTGGAGCTCTAAGAAATTAGTCATTTTGATGCATAAGCTCTGAAGATATTGAAATATTTTGCATACTTAAATGGTCAATATATTCGTCATAGAAACCAGACAGCATTTCAAGGTTTCTTCTCATTTACAGTAAGTGCATCTTCATTTGCTGTAAAAAATGTTGATATACCATTGGTAGATTCACCGAAATAATATAGATGGGGTAGGGAAAGATTTATTAGCCTGGGTTCATGATTTCATGTGATAAATTAGATAATGAATTTATGTTAGCTTTATTTTTGTCGATATTACTATGAAAAAGACAGCAATGATTGCAATTGAATAGAATATGATTTATGGGTACAGGCTTCAGATAGTAATTAGATACTTACTTGTAGGTGGTTTCATTGGTTTGGCAGCTGTTGCAGATGATTGATAAGGATCATCGTCATATGCAGAGACGCGGGATCCCTTTTTGTCATCGACCGATAAAGATGAACCAGATGCAATGTGTTTTGAAGATCCTTTGGAAGGGACATGTCTATCAGATGTCTTTGTTAAAAGAGGTTCATCTCGTTCATCATCCCTCGAAGAGCCCTGTTTCAAATTAGAAGGATTGTTTACATCATGTGAAGAACTTTTATTTTTCGATGAAGATAGTCCAACAGATTGCAATGATGATTGTTCACCTTCTGAATCATATCGAAGAAGGGTCGATTGCTGCTTTTGTGAAGCAATACATGACGAATAATCTGGCGGTGGTGTTGGTGAAGAGCTCAAACTGGAATGCATCTTGCTACTGCTCAGTTCATCATCATAGTTTTGATTACCACTCGAAGACTTTTTTGCAGTAGACTTCTTGGGTTTATGCTCATAGTCGTCTTCGAAAAGTTTGCTATCGTCCCTAACTGAAGATGAAGATCCTCTAGTTGAAGATTGTTCATGAAACGAGGCTAAAATTATAAGGAAATACTTAATCGTATGTAACATTGAGGCAGAATACTTGCCTTCATGTGGTTGCGTTGTTTTTTTCTTTTCGTTCGGTGCATCTGGATTTTGAGACTTTCTATGACTTCTTAATTGAGTGGACGAATTATAGTACGGTTTTTCACTGTCGGAGAAACTATCTTTTTCCGTTACGTGTTCACCGCTGGAACTGCGTCGCCGATCTCGTACAGAACTTCTCGGATCTGGTCGATTAGGTATACTTTCATCTTCTGGAGAAGGAGTACGGTGATTAGATGACGATGATGAGGGACTCCTCTCTACATAACTGGGCCGTGTTTCAATACGTGGACGCATTGGTTTACGAGCGTTGCACGTTTCGCACGATTTATTACTATCGTTATTTGTGTAACCACATTGGCGACATTTCCAATCTTGTCCTTCAGTCGATGATGAATTTGAATTAGCGCATTGTTGACCTGAGCGATTCATAATCAAACGAAGATGTCATTCTTTTATAATGAATAGAGAAAAAGCTGTATCTTTGTTGTGACTAGGCATCTACGAGTACACAGATAACTGATGATAGTAACCATATTGGCTATTGAAGTGCTCTCTGCAGAGTCACTTGATTATAATAATATTTTTTCAAACAAGCCCAAGACAATCAGGTATTTCAAGGATGTACATCGTTGAAAGTGAATGAATATTATTTTACAAGATCTATAAATTGCTATTGTTATGATTTTCTTCGTCTGGCTCTTAGTTTTTCCCTAGACTGAAAGGATAGGGTATATAAACCGTAGTTCACCTGTGTCTGCCTGTCTGCCTGTAACAATGACACAAGCGACCATGTCTGTGGTACAAATGACTGTTTCTATGACACAAAGGGTATTGTTCCGGCACAAACCATGGTGAATGCATGACATGGCCATGTGAAACAGCCCGCTCTGGAGATGGAGACAGTGGAGGGGCAAGCTGATCCCCTTACGGAAATTTGAACTAACCATCATGAAGCTTCTTAACCATATAGTTGTATGGCTAGGTATGACTCAGCCTCTTCCCTCCTTAAGGACCTTTGAGTCCCATTTTGTCTGTCTTTCGTCTTCACTTTCAGTGCTTTTACTTGAAACCTTTAATTTTCGTCTAATTCTTACCTCGGTTTCACTTATTTCCACTCCCTTTACAGGTCTGTTTGAAAATCTCATCACCAACTGCTGGCACAAACAACCGATTTTCTGTCCTGTCAATGCATTTATTCCCCTCAGCACTGCCAGTCGAGGACCCAGTGAATCGACTTTCGATGTCGATGAACGTTACTTGTTCAGTACATATTGACAGGATAGGCCGGAAGAACCACTACAATACTGGCTATTAAGCGTGAATAGCACCTTAAATCATGTTAGTATCAAAATTTTAAATTGAGGGTCATTTTGTCAATCAAATTCAAAATTCAATTTTGATATAACTTACATCCAACAGAAATTTTTGGTGCTATCTGACGAGTGCTCATCTCATTTAGATGCTCAATATATGAGAAGTGTTCACTCAGGCATCTACTGCTCGGTAAAAAAGACGGAGATCCATAGAACTTTTGAAGGTTCTGTCTTTTACCCAAATTTGACTCACACGAAAATAGTTTTTCACGAAAAATAAATGATTTCAATACCCTCTACAACATCTTGCTGTCTTGTGCAAAGTTTATTTTATGGGTTCGGGACTCGCCTAGAAGACAGAAACTTAAAAGGCTCTGCACATCTCCTAGTTTTAGAGATTACCATTGCATAAAAAATGCTATTGAGACATTTTTATTCCTCTTTGAGTCATTGATGATACGATCTATAGAGAGGTATGTTCTACCGAAAAATCTCGAATCACAATTCGTGAGACGGATCTCAACATTGAAGAAAAACATTATTCCAAAAGAAATGAAGTTATTGACTGTGATATTGTCTAAAAAATATCAGTTCTAATAGGATTCTATTGACTCTATGATGTTTACATCTATATTGAAGGAAAACTCTTGCGAAACAATTAAAGATCATGCCGATAAAAATAAAATAGTCAGCAATAGATAATAATTGCATTTTTGCATGCCTACATCAGTTCGACGCCTTGTGTGTATTTATTCCAATTTTGATGAAGCAATATTATTGAAGCAGAAAGTTTTTTTTTTAAACTCAACATCATTTCAAGAAGACTCCTATATAACCATCAACTTAAAAACTTTACTTACTTTCATTTGCTTCCGTTTTTCGTGAGTGTCTTTCAGATGCTTGGCTATAATCAGCATCATCGTATTTGTTCACTGACGATGGCTTTGTTTGATGATCCTATAATGTGTAATTATTACTGGTGTTACAGGATTAATCTGTTATTTTTCTTAGGAAGCTAATACAATTGAGCAATAGACTCGCAGTCGTTGTTGACAAAGTTTACCCTCGATTGTGTTGAATCAATGACCTATCATTCTATTTCCTCTATATTTCACAAAATAGAGGCGATAAAACACGAATAATTAATTTAACTCTACCATTTAATCGGTTGGCTATCCTTTGCTGCAAATTGAAATCTCCAGACACATCTCTATACCATATCCACACTTGTGGAGAATAAAACAAATACGGTCAATTCAGGTGACCAAATAGGAATTTTCAATTTGGGGACATTTTTAATATACGACAAGGCTGATGGATCATAGTTCAACACCATCTTCTACCCAAAAAATATTTTACCATTCAAACCAAGTACCCTAGTGCTAACCATAGTATATGTAAGTACATTCTGGTAACCAGATGCTTACAGAATCAATATTACTTATGAGAATCTTTTCGACAATTAATTCTGCTTATCAAGAACTCAGAGAACTGATTTTGGCTATCAGAGTTTAAGAGAATAAAAGAATAAAAGAATGTTAAAGGAGAATATTGGATTTAATTTCTATATAAATTAGAATGACTAGGCACATAAACAAGAGAAGACGGGAAAAAAGCATAAGATAGTGAATATCTGTATTATATTTTGAATCTGGTGGCCAGACGTGGTGTCAAAATACAGCACATTTGAATGAGATCTCGGTTGTAAAACTAATGAATAAGAGGTCTTTAGTCAAGGGTAATATGAAGCATAAGTACAGAATGATATGAAAGCTGAGATTCTGTTTGATTTTGACTTGAACAGCATATTGCTTATTTAAAAACATCTCTAAATTGAAAAATCTCTAAATCAAAATCCCTATTGGGTTACCAGAATTGGTCGTGTTTGTTTTATTCTCCACAAGTGTGAACATCAATTTGTAGCAAAGGATAGTCATTCTCCGAGGTAACTCATATCTAGTCGCGTGTAATATAAGCAATGCTTCAACTTGAAAATTTTCTTATGAATTTTATGGGGCGGATGGATATAGCCTAAGAGTAGCTAGAAAGTAAATAGTATTTGAAAATTTTCAGTAGAGTAGCTCGGCATTAATGTGTTAGAAACATATTCGCGTGCTTCAAAAAACGAGAGATATCTGTGAAGTAGTTATCAGCAACTATTTGATACAATTAGGGCTCAGTGATGATTGATTAACACTCGAAGCAAACATGATATTCATTATTAGTATAGTTCCGATCAATTTTCAAACGAATGAATTTTATACCAAAAGACAGGTAGTAAATATAAACAAGTGAACTGACAGAGAATGCAACATAGACATGTGAGATATACTCTAAAAAAATAGGTAAGCGACTTAATGCTTTTGAGCTTCACAAAAGCTACGAAACCTAAAATAGTTCTTCCCCCGGGGAACAGGGACTGGGCCTATTTTCTTAAAGAGTAGACCTTGTTTACAAAATTGAAAGAAAACTATAGAAATTAAAATTAAAACAAAAATTGCTTACAGTGCTGCTGTCTGGATGCCTAGCTCTAGATGAACTGCCGCTGTTTTTAGACATTTGAATAAGCGGCGTGCTGAAACTTTGTGTTTAGTTTGTCTCTGTGTGTTTTAGAATCGGGTGATTGCAACTTCAGTCGAGGAACTTTGAAAAATTTTATTTTCTGGGATTGAAAATTGCTTTTTTTGTGAATACGAGAAAGTGAAGGTAAAATTCGACTCGCTCTTGAAAAGTGTCTCCTCAATGTTGGAAGAAAAGAGAACGGAAGAGAAAAAGATTGAGTTGTAAACACCATATATTTTAGACGTCGAAGCAAATGAAATGACAGTAATGATGACAATGAGTCGATAGAAAAAAAAAATAACAGTGAAGAAAATAAATAAAAATGCTAAAGACGCAATAAAAAAAAAGGAGCAAGGTGTATTATAACGAGAACGGCTATTGCAACGATGAGAGTAATCGAGCCCTGTCACTATTCCAAGATTCTAGAATTTTTATAGAATTCGCAATTCACCATATTCATAATCAACTTTTACACTTAACGATTCTATATCTTTCACGGTTCTTGTATCATCGAACTTTTGGAATTCTGACGTCATTCGGATCATTTCAAGAATAATAGAATTATTGAAATTTTATAGTAAACTAGCCTGAAGTATGAAATTTTTAGCGTTTGAAAGAACTATACTTCTTGAGAGTTTGGAATAATGAGAATTTCAAAATAAGTATAAATTTTAAGAATGTCAAATTATTAAGAATACAACATTATACTCGATTTGTTGATTGTGATAATTTATAATCAAATGTTGTGGGAATTTGTAGACCTGCAATATTGAAAAAACTGTACTATTTGATTTAGTTTCATGCATACAGTTTAAAACAATAAATTCTCAATATGTGTATTACGCCATCTATTATGCGAATTTACATGAATAGTAGTTTTTTAATATTACAAGTCTACAAATTCTCACAATCAACAAATCGAGTATAATGTTGTATTCTTAATAATTTGACATTCTTAAACTTTATACTTATTTTGAAATTCTCATTATTCCAAACTCTCAAGAAATATAGCTCTCTCAAACGCTAAAAAATTCATACTTCAGGCTAGTTCACTACTCTAAAATTTCAATAATTCTAATTATTGTGAAGTTCTTATTATTCTACAATTCGAATATTCTGATTTATTCGAATGATTTCAAAATTCCAAAACTTCGACGGTATGAGTATTGTGAACGGCATAGAATATTGCGGTGTAAAACTTCATTATGAAAGGATGAATTAG